GCTTGGGTGTGGCCGTGTCTCCGTGGATGGGGAACTCCGGCTTTACTCTCGCGGAAGCAGCGTTCTGGAGCCCTGGCTTCCGACTTCGCCTTTAAATATTCATGGGCTCTTCTTGGGGTCCTGTCACCACCAACATCTAAGCGCACGTGGGATGCTCGCGGCCGGCAGCCTCTACCGGCTCCGCGACGGTTACGCTGATGTGTCACCTCGACGGGGCCACGGTGCGTCATCGGGTCAGACGCGATCTAGGTGCTGCTGTGACGGTCGTGTTTGTACGCAGCTGAGATGTAAATCAGCAGATGACGCTCCACGTGGGGGTGTGGGTGGGCCTCGCCGCATCAGGCGAAGGTTTCCGAGCCGAGACTGACCTCCCAGGGGAGGAAGGAAGCGGCCTCCCCAGAGACGGCGGCCCAGCGCGCTCCCTGACTTGCCCGACTGCGCTGTCCTGCGGCCTGGGACTCGCCAGCCGCCAAGAGCTGGAGCCAACGCCGTACAATCCATGTCTCTACATGTATGCAGACATGGAGGTTGGCGTCTGCATACACACGTAAGCAACATGAAGATAGGTGCACACGTGGTCCTGGTTCTGTCTCTCTGGAGACCCTCACTCACACGGCTCTTCAATCCATTCATCTGTTTGACCTTCACCACGATCCTCTGGTTCAGAGGCGACGAAGCCCTGGCCGGTGTGGCCCATGGTCAGAGTGTCGGCCTGGGCACCGAAGGGCCGCAGGTTCAATTCCCAGCCAAGGGCATGGACCTGCCTGGCAGGCTCGATCCCCAGCCCCGGTTGGGACACATGCAGGAGGCAACCAAACAATCGACGTCTCTCACCTCTCTCTCTCTCTCTTCTCTCTCTCTCTCTCTCTCTCTCTCTCTCTCTCTCTCTCTCTCTCTCTCTCTCTTCTTCCCTCTGTCCCTTCCACTCTCTCTAAAAATCAATGGAAAAATATGCTCGGGTGAGGATTAACAAACACAACAAGAAGAAGCTGCAATGGAGGCGACCCTGTGCGGTGTCACTCGGGCTGATCACAGGTCCATCTACCCCTCCTCCCCGACCCCTCCCCTCCGAGCACAGAGCAGAGCCATGCTTGCTGGGTTCCTGGGAGGGGTGGCCGGCTCTGGCCAATGACTCTGAGCCAGCGGTCCCCACCCTTTTTAGGCCACGCCCCACTTGAGCATCTCTAAATACTGATCTCCCCCTCCGTGACCTAGAATTCTTATTCTTCAAAAAGTGACTCCTATGCACGTGGAGGAAGCCTGAAAGGCCATCCACTTGGTCTAAACAAGCTTCCAAAGAACATGGCGTCCATGAGAGAGAAAAATAAAAGAACGAAAGGGCATTTCACTAAGGAATCACTAAGAAATCGTTAAGATAATAATAACATGAGGTGATGTGAAAAAACATCAAATGAAGTTTCAAAACATATAACAGAGAACTGAAATGCAGAAATACGTCACAATATATATTTATAGGCTGTATAGGAGGCCCGAGAACCATAAGAAATGCACAAAACTCACTGTTAACAACTCATCCTCAAACTGCCCCCTTAACAATCAAACGGCCGCCCGTGGGGTGTGGGCCCCAGTGGGCCCCGCTGCTCTGAGCGCGTGGGCGCCCTCGCGAGTCCCTCAGGAGAGCTCCTTCCGCTCTTGGTGTGTCAGAGAGCAGGTGCTCCCCCACCCGGGGCCCGAAGGGTGGACCCCAAGGGCCAAAAACCCCGCCCCCGGGCCGGAGGGGGGTTAATAGACAAGAACCTTTTACTGTTTTGCCCGGGGGGACAGGGTTTCCACCAGCCTTGTTTCCGACACAATTCCCGGTGTGTATTTTCAAAAAATGTCCCCCCTCGCTCCCGGTGGCCAAGCCGCGGCTGGGGAAAATTAAAAAACCCCCCCCCTTGCCCCCCCGGGGGGGGGGGGGGGGGGCAGGAGCCTGGCCCCTGTCGGGGGAGCGGAGGGAGACTCAGCAGGAAATGATGTGGTTGCCAACGGCACGCACCTGCTCAGGGGGACGCTGGGCGTCCAGAAGGGGTAGACTCGGGCCGCAGAATCTCGCATCTGCTCCTGGTAGCCCAGGTAGAAGTAGGCGTCGTGGGAGAACTTGAGGGCCAACATGTCCGTGGGGTGGTCCCGGAGAATCTGCTCCCACCGCTCGCAGGCTTCGGGAAAGTTCCTGGGAGGAGAGAGCGGGTTCTCAGCGACAGGGACACCGCCCACCTGCGGGAGGGGGGAGCATCGCTTCCTGCCAGCTCCACAGTCTGCCCTGCGCTGGCCACACACGCACACACATACATGCACATGTGTGCACACACATACACACGTGCACGCGCACACACGGCAGGTCTTTCAATGACATCGTTCTGTTCAATGTCCTTTTAAAAAAATTTTTTTATTGATTTCAGAGGGAGGGAGGGAGAGAAACATCAATAATGAGAATCACTGATCGGCTGCCTCCTGCACGCCCCACACTGGGGATCGAGCCCACGACCCGGGCATGTGCCCTGACTGGGAATCGAACCGTGACCTCGTGGTTCATAGGCCGACGCTCAGCCACGGAGCCACCTGGCAGGGCCGGTGTCCTATTAACACGGACGAGATGCTTTGGGAAGGTGGCGCTTGTCTATCAGGACGCCTGCGGTGAAACTGGCTTTGTTACATGTCCCTTTGTTTAAAGCAGGGGTCCTCAAACTTTTTAAACAGGGGGCCAGTTCACTGTCCCTCAGACTGTTGGAGGCCGGACTATAGTTTAAAAAAAAACTATGAACAAATTCCTATGCACACTGCACATATCTTATTTTGAAGTAAAAAAACAAAACGGGAACAAATACAGTATTTGTATTTGCATGTGGCCCGCGGGCCGTAGTTGAGGACCCCTGGTTTAAAGTCACGGAACTTCTACCGACATTTTCTACCGACATTAGCGAGGGCTCAACTGTACGTATGGACGGATCTATGTCGGCTTGTGGCTCATAGAATCGATAACCCAGTGGGTGGTTGTTCTCCTGAATTCAAACCAGACGGGAGCACTGGCTTAACAAGCAGCCCCAGGCAATTTCCGTGGAGACCAGGAACCTGCGGCGGGAGGCCCGGAGGAAGAAGCCCAGCCAGCGCTAAGCCCCAGCACTGACCCCCCGGGGGCCCAGGCAGTTCCTCTGTCCACTGGCACTGACCCCCCCCGGGCCCGGGCAGTTCCTCTGTCCGCGGGCACTGACCCCCCGGGGCCCGGGCAGTTCCTCTGTCCACTGGCACTGACCCCCCGGGCCCGGGCAGTTCCTCTGTCCGCGGGCACTGACCCCCCGGGGCCCGGGCAGGTCCTCTGTCTGCGGGCACTGACCCCCCCGGGCCCGGGCAGTTCCTCTGTCCACTGGCACTGACCCCCCGGGGCCCGGGCAGTTCCTCTGTCCACTGGCACTGACCCCCCGGGGCCCGGGCAGTTCCTCTGTCCACTGGCACTGACCCCCCGGGGCCCGGGCAGTTCCTCTGTCTGCGGGCACTGACCCCCCGGGGGCCCGGGCAGTTCCTCTGTCTGCGGGCACTGACCCCCCAGGGGGCCCGGGCAGTTCCTCTGTCCACTGGCACTGACCCCCGGGGGCCCGGGCAGTTCCTCTGTCCACTGGCACTGACCCCCCAGGAGGCCCGGGCAGCTTCCTCTGTCCACTGACACTGACCCCCGGGGGCCTGGGCAGCCTTCCTCTGTCCGCGGGCACTGACCCCCCGGGGGCCCGGGCAGCTTCCTCTGTCGCTTCCAGAACCTGCACAGCAGCTCAGGTGGCCTCGCTCTGCGGGCGTCTCCCCCGGCCTGAGCAGACCAGGCTGCCCAGACACGGGCTCCGGCTCCGACGCCGCTGGCAGGGGCAGCGGTGGGGAGAGCAGGTGCTGTGGGCAGATGCTCGAAGGGCGGGTAGGGCAAAGGGGGAGGGCTTCTCTTCTATCTC